TAGTTCGGCGGCCCCATGGAAAAGCTGGATGAAAAATGGGGTTACTCGTATAAAAGACATTGGGCATTGTGACTGAGGTAGTTGGAAAACAACAGACGAAGTACACGAGACTTTGAGGTAGTTCTGCGGCCACATTGATCACAGTTTGGACACACTTATTGAGGAGATACGGGTGTCCTGGTACACGACATTGAGGAGAGGTTCATCTTTACAAGAGGGGGACAGGGTAGCGGTAAGAGGGACCACCGATCAGGTAGGGAGAATACACATGACCCGAGCGCAAGATGCCCTGGTGGAAATGTACAAAGAAAGCAGATTAGGAGCGCTGCGAGCAGTGCGAGCAGGCCGGGACCCTTTTATCTATCAGAACAAGACTGGCATATTGTCATCTTCCGTATAAGAGTCCTTTGGGAAGGGGAAGAAGCGTGCGCATTCCAGTCTGACACCAAGATACAAGACCTCCCCCTCGACCCTCTAGAATGGCAGTGAAACTTGAAATTCACAGCGCGCAGAGAAAACCCCACTGCTGTGATCAGTCTTCAGAAGCTGACGGTGAAGTCCACATACAAAATGCTCAGACCCAAACGCCACCTTAAAGATAGAATATTTGATAGATGGACAAAACACCTCAACGTGGATCGCTCCCTTCTCACGCCGATACCCTGGTTTCAAGGCCGAAAGGAAAAACCGGCAAAGATCACCTCCCTACAGTGGCAGATAGCACACCGGTTTCTGCTAACCAACCAAACCTGGAACAGAAAGGCCGCGCTCTTCCCTGGTGTGCACAGTGCCTGCGGGCCTTCCCTCCATGAAGGAGTGTAGAAACCATTGAACACGTCTTCATGCAGTGCCTGACTGCGCAACTCACATGGCGATGGTGGGACAAATTTTGGAGAAAGATGGTCGGACTCCCTGACACTCCATGGCCCTGGACCTAGAGGGCCATACTGCTAGGATTTTGGCCCCAGGTCCAGGAGGCGTCCTCGTTTACAGAAAATATGTTCAATTTGGGCCACAGAGCGGTACTCTGGGGGCGTTGGTGGCGATGTTGCCTTCTGGCCAGCACCCCAGACTGGCCACGACCGAGATGTCTCGGCCACACCCCAGATTGGCCACCGCCAAGATGTCTCGGCCACAGCCGAGATTAGCAGGCATTACCCTTCACAGGCAAACGAGAAGTCTCAAGAGTAGCCTACTCCTAAGAAGTGGGGGGCTTGGGGCAGGGATGGAAACCAAAAAAAAAAAAAAAAAAAAGAAGAAATAAAAAAGTAAAGAAAAGAGGAACTTCGAACCCACCTATGTCCCGAAGGCCCTCACGTCACCTGTGCTTTGAGGAATGTATCTGGCCAGGAAGTGAGGAACATGAAACAGGTCGTTTTCCTTTCCTGTTTCTTGAAGTGAGGAACATGAAACAGGTCGTTTTCCTTTTCTGTTTCTTGTTGTGCCTCTCTTCATTCAGTACCAGACAAGTACTGTAGCATCCTGTATCGGACCGCAATCATAGCATACGGGATGTTGTTGGGCCCTGACTGAACTGCTACCGAAAGGCAGCCCGAGTTTCAAATGCAATTGAAACTCGGGCCCTGACTAAACTGCTAAAACGCAGTTTTACAAACTGCTTTCGAAGTTACCCCTCTAAAAAAAAAAAAAAAAAAAAAAATAAATAAATAAATAAATAAATAAAAAAAATCGTTCTCCTCCCATACCCTGGGTCTCCCACTCATGCTCCGACTAACTCCACCCATCTTTTTCCTTTCTCCATCTCTTGACGTTGATGACACCGCACCAATTTCCCATTTCCCCCTTCTTGAGGATTACCACGCCCCCCTCGCCCCTGCCTCCAGTCCCCATCTTGGCCCAACCTCCGCCCAACCTCTCCCTCCCTGCCTCTCTCTTCCCTCTCTGCCGGCCAAGGAAAGCACATCCACTAGGAGTCTGGTCTGAGGTGGAGATTGGACATGAGGGAACATATCACTGCAGGACTGTGAAAACACAAATGCCGAATTGGACACAATAGCAAGAGTCCATAGTACAAGTATAAATACAGAGGCCTTTGGAGGCAGCCAGGAGTCCAGGACACTCTGACAAACATCTGTAGGGCTGTAGACTCAGTTGATAGTCTACTCAACCAAACAGTTATGGGTCACTGACAGGCACACCCAGCTACAAGCTGGTTAGTCAGTCAATTGTCTGCTCGAACAAACAATCAGCTAGTACATTGTTTTCGGGACGCTGGAACCAGTTTCCAGCAGGTGTTGCTCCCCACCAATAGATTGAGCCTCCCCAGGAGTGATAGTGGTGCCTGCTCTTATCAGCACCCCTAGCATGACCTCGGGTGTTTGTGTAAAAAAAAAAAAAAAAAAAAAAAGGATATCCTAAAAATATAAACGAGCGTTACTCTAGGATACCCTTGATATCCCTGGCCTTGGGCTCAAAGGTGTCAAAAGGGTGATCTAATAATTCAATAATGAGGGATGAACCTTTTTTTGTTGACAGATGCAATTTTAGATTACTTTTAAAATCAAGAAAACAACTCAAATTCCGCCGGCCGGGGTACGTAGTAAAACAGCTCTAGTGGAACAAAGGTGTACTATTTAATGTACACTATATATGGAACGGAGGCCAAGTCCCACTACCGTCTTCACCTGAAAAAAATGCCTGGTCATTATAGCTGTATTTGGCACAACTTTCAGTCCAGATGCACGATAATGACCGGGCGTTCTATTTGGGTGAAGAGTTTCCTCAATGCCTGAATCTGGATGTGTTTGTGAATATGTGCAGAAATGGCATTGAGTTTCCTCAACTGCACATCTCCACAAACACTTCCAGATTCAGGCGTTGAGGAAACTCAACGCTGCTAGTGGGACTTGGACCCGGGTGTCACTGAACACTTTCAATTTTGTTTTCTTTCTATTTTTGGGAAAATTGATCTGTACCCCATTTAAAGATGGGAATACCCGCTATAACCAGCCCGGGGGCTAGGTCCCACTTGCACAAATTAAGAGATACTGACCGTAGATAGCAAAGATCAACGGCCGAAATCTCCTAATTTGCGCAAGTGGGACCTTGCCCCGGGTGTCCAACTTGCATCAGTACCCAGAAAATTGTTTGTGCAAATTATTTTATTTGTATATGCAGGACGGAGGAGGGCCAAGGTTGGTACAGCCAAATTGAATGCTAATTATGCACATACCCAGGCAATTTATGTGCATGCCCAATTTTTCCTCCCCGTTTCCTGTGCTCCCAATCCAAGGGCCTGTGGTACTGGGTATGCTTACAAGTTGGACAATGTCTAAGTATAGATGCAAGTTGGGCGCTCGACTGGGTATAGGGGGTACTATTCTCATCTTTAAGTGGGGTACAGATGCAATTTTCCCTTTTAAATTAATTTTCTGAATCCAATGTCTGCCAGGAGCATGACAATCAGTTTAATATCTGATCCGTAAAAAAAAGAACAAAACAAACAAACAAACAAACCATAATCATTACTCCTTTAAAAAAAAAAAAAAAAAAAAAAAAAAAAAGGAAAAGAAAAAACCAAAAAAAAAAAAAAAAAAAAAAAAAAAAAAAAAAGGATTGAGGGCATGGTCACATCCAATGTCTAGGACTTTGGAATGCACTGCGGGTGTAATGACAGTCAAATACATCCTAAGATTGCAACAGAGCATCCACAAAGCATCCTTATGACGAGACACACATGAGCATGGAGGAGGAAGAGGGTGGTAAAGAAAAGATGGGGAGAGAAGCAATGAGATACATCCATCTTTTCGGGCATACTCACACTACCTTCTTTCCCAGAATACAACGTACGGTCATTATAGGTGTCTTTAGACCGAAAGATACCCAAAATTCAGCTATAATGATGGTACGTTGTATTTGGCAGAGCATTATGCCAACAACTCTGCACCTGGTTGCACGCAAACTGAAAGAAACAGATTCGACAATACAACATCCTCGACCCACAACAACAACCAGCAGCGACTTACGGTTGGAAATTGGTACCGAGACATCCGCATTTGGGACCTGATCTCCCAACCGCAGATCTACTGCATCGAAGGTCTACAAGACAATGGGGATTGCAGCTTCTAAGACCAATGATGGACTCATTTCATCTCAGCATCTACGGTTAGTTCAGGATTTTGATGTGACACTTACCCTGGCGGGAGTACGGCCTCGCTGGCCGGACCGCTCCCACTGCTTTGACCTGCGACTGTATAAGTCACAGGCGCTTGGCCAGCCACGATAGCTTGTGTGCTTTCCCGAGCCGCGCCTTCCAGGCCCCGACCACTCGCAGTAGTCATCACAAACTCGAACCTGCGCGCATGCCACACAAGGGTCAGGTCCTTCAGAGGTCAAGTCCTTTTCCCTCGCCTTGATTTGGTGAAGCGGTCCGGCCCGCCCTCTATTTCGCCCGCTCTCTATTTCCCTGCGGAGTGCGGGCCTGCGGCCCATCTCCCTGACTCACTTCTGTGCGATCTGGCATCATCTACGGACTTTCATTTTCCTATTTTATCCGGAAGAGACCTGTGTAAGAAGGTAGGAGTTTCCCCAATGTATGTGACCGCATTTCTGACCCCGGCAGGATGGTGCTAACCTGTATTAACTCCACAGAGAAGTGGAAAAAGTCCTCTACTGAAAAAAAAAAAAAGCAGTCCTAGACTAAGTGTGAGTATGCCCAGAATTGAGGGCGTACTCACACTTTGAATGTGCTCTGCGTGTCATGAGGCTCAGATACATCCTTTCTTTTTTTTTTTTTTTTTCATAGGTAGTCCAACTGGAATTGTGGTCAGATACATCCAGGAAGTCCCAGTGTGAGTATGCCTTGAGCCAGTCTATTGCCCCAGATTGAGGCAAGAGGGACTTGTGCCTGTTGATGGAGAGCTGCACGTTGGTCGTTCTGGGAGCCTCTCTTTGTTTTTTTGTTTTTTTTTTTAAATCAACAGACCGTGCCGACGGGGGTGCGTAGTAGTTAGGATAGGGGTCCCTAGTCAGGATAGGGATAGGGATCCTAGATAATGTTTCTTTTTTCAAATTTATTGTCCGATCTGTTGTCAAAACAGGTAAATTGGGCGGAAAATGAAGGATACCAAGGCTATATACATAGATATTTGTGACAAGAAAATATATGTATCGTTCATTATATATATATATGGAGAGAGAGAGAGAGAGAGAGAGAGAGAGAGAGAGAGAGAGAGAGAGGTTCGTATACACTCTTTTCTCTCTTTGCCTACAGTTTACGGGGCAGTTCTGTCTAACGATGGAACTTGAAGAAGAGCCTAGCTCAGTGGGGACCACACGCATGAACTGTTGAAATACAGAACCTGGGTTCGAATCCAGATGATTGAACTTGACGAGTGAAAAACGAAATAATTCAGAATTGCCTGGGGGCAGTCAATGATGATATCTTTTTTTTTTTTTTTTTTTTTTTTCCTCCCCCTACAAGAGAGAAAATGCATTATAACCAGGCAAAACAGAGGCCGGAGTATTGATGATATCTCAACGCCGTCGCCTTCCCCAAAAAAAAAAAAAAGAAAAAAAAAAAAAGAAGATATATTTGTATATATATCTATACATAAAATGTATATATTTCATGGATTACGTGCTCTATACCGTTGAAATTGGCGCGCGCGGGGGTCTCTTCCCGCAAGCTGCGTTGAGTTTCCTCAACGCCTGAATCTGGATGTGTTTGTGAATATGTGCAGAAATCTCGTTTAGTTTCCCCAGCCGCACATCTCCGCAAACACGCCCAGATTCAAGAGTTGAGGAAACTCAACGCTGCTTGTGGGCCGAGGCCCCAGACAGAAGATTGCTGTGGGGACCCCTCTCTGCCCACACGCACGTGCAAAGGTGGTTTCCGTTGGCCCCTCTTTTTTTTTTTTTTTTTTTTTTGGTTTCTGCCTATCTACAGTTTGATTTCCCGTCGGCGAAATGAACGCTCCTCTGCGCAAGGATGACATCCGCATCCGTTAAAATTGGAACGATACAGAGCAAGCAGATTGGGATGGGCCCTCTGCGCAAGTAAGGATGACACGCATAAATCGAGAAATGGTCCAAATGAGCGCTTTCGCAAAAAAAAAAAAGAAAAAAAAAAAAAGAAAAAAAGAACGCTCCGTCATTATAGCTGTAATTTGGCCAAGATTCAGTCTAGATACAGCGGTATGTGGTTCTATGGATCTTTGCGTCCGCTAACGTCTTCATCCGTGCCCGGTCATTATGGCTGTATTTGGGGCAATCACCAGTCTAGACACAGCGCTAATGACCGGTAGGGCGTTCTATTTGGGGGAAGATGGTAGGGCAGAGGACGCTTCTCCCACCTTCCCGAGATGCGATCTCCCAGCGACGGTCGTCCGAACAGATCGGTTATAGATTCTGTCCGTTTAGGGATCAGTCACAACCGCCAAACAAACAAACAAAAAGAGAGAGAGAGAGAGAGAGAGAGAGAGAGTCTCGTTACGACTTTTTATAGGATCTCACATTCCTGTTCGGGATCGAGAGAGAGAGAGATTCTCGTTACGACTTTTTATAGGATCTCGCTTTCCTGTTCGGGATCGACACTCGTGTACCTCATAGGGACACTCGCGCCCCCGAGATAGATAGATAGATAGATAGATAGATAGATAGGAGAGAGAGAGAGAGAGAGAGAGAGAGAGAGAGAGAGAGAGAGAGAGAGAAACTTTTTATAGGATCTCGCTTTCCTGTTCGGGATCGACACTCGT